ACGGTTCTACAAGAATGAGTTTGACGATGTGAGCAGTCACGTGCCCATGTCTGTTGAAGGTCGTAAGGCTCCAAGTATTATGTCAGAGTCCATACAGTTAGTTGACGGACATTATCAGATAGCACTTCCATGGCGTTGACAACAAATTTTACCTAGTAATAGAAAACTGGCGATGAGTAGACTCAATTGGTTGAGGAAACGCCTCTGTCAAGACTCAGACCTGCACAAAGAGTATACTAATGTAATGTCTCAGTATATTGAAAGAAGTTTCGCCGAAATGGTCGAAGAGGATCACGTTAATGGACAGGTTTGGTACTTGCCACCCCATCCGGTTTTCCATCCGAAGAAGCCCAATAAATGAGGGATTGTGTTTGACTGTGAGGCGGAGTACGCAGAAATATCTCCGAATAAAAATCTGTATTCTGGTCCGGATCTAGTAAATAATTTGGTGGATGTCTTTATGAGATTTCGGCAGCGACCAATAGGCATCACTGCAGATATAGAAGCTATGTTTCATCAAGTGATCGTTCCTTCGCACGACAGAAACGCTCTTAGATTTTTATGGTGGGTCGGCGGCAACGTGAAAACGGAACCAGCAGTTTACAGAATGAAGGTGCATATTTTCGGAGCAACATCTTTGCCGAGTTGTGCGACCTTTGACTTACAAAGGACTATCGCAGACAACGCTGATAAGTTCGACGAGCGTGTTATTCAAGTAGCTAGAGAAGAGTTTTATGTTGACGATTTGCTTTCTAGTGTTAATACGTTAGATGAGGGTAAGCTGATTTATACTCAGTTGAAACAGATCCTAAAACTAGGAGGATTTAATCTGACCAAATGGACTAGTAATAACCGAGAATTACTGAAGTTCAACCCAGAAGAAGACCGCGCAGAGAGGAACATCGATATCCTTTTATCTAAAGAGAATAACGAGAGGACGCTAGGTATAGAATGGAAAGTATTAAGTGATAGTATCTGTTTTCGAACTCGTGAATTTAAAACAAGAACAACCAGAAGGACTCTTTTTTCATACGTGGCTTCGATATGCGACCCGGTTGGAATTATAGCACCGATATTGCTGCCTGCTACATTAATTTTGCAAGATACATGTAGAAGGCGATTAGAATGGGATGCAGACCTACCTAAAGACTGTCTAGCCGCCTGGAAAAGATGGTATAAGAATATTAATTATTTGCATAAAATTCGTATTCCACGATGTATAATGCCCATTTCTTGTGAACTGTTGAGCATTCAGCTTCACTGTTTCTCAGACGCTTCAGAATTCGCATACGGTGCTGTAGTATATATCCGTGTAGAAGATGTTTCCCGCCAAGTTCATTGTTCTTCAGTGCTGACAAAATCTACAGTCGCACCATTGAAATCTGTTACTATACCTAGACTAGAGTTATTAGCTGCTGTATTATGTTTCAAGATTGGTAAACATCTGCAACAACAGCTTCGTGTACCGATTTCGTCTACGACTTACTGGACGGATTCACTAATTGTGCTTCATTCGATAAAAAAAAACTACGAAAAGATTTGAAAGATTTGTAATCAGCAGGCTCGCAGTTACCCATGAGTTATCCACACTAGATCAGTGGAGACACGTCACTAGTAGTAAACAGAATCCTGCTGATTACGTCTCACGTGGACTTTCGTTAGATAATGATGTTAAGATTAACGAGTGGCTTTATGGACCGAAATTCCTAAGGGACAGGGAAGAGAATTGGTCTAATATTGGATGAAGATGAAAGTGTTATCAGCAATAATTTGTTAGTGGACGAAACCTGTGGGTCGAATACACTACAGGAACAGGGTCAACTACTAGATAGATTCAGAGCATTCACTACATCATGGTTTAGGATGCGAAGAGTTTTCGCCTTATGTCAGCATTTTATCCGCAATTTGAAAATGCGAAAGGGCGGAAAAACCGTCTATCGCTTACAAACTATCGCTAGAGGATATCAGCAAAGGGATGTTGCATATATACTTAAGTTAGTGCAGAGCGCTACATTTCCCGACGAGATTGAGGCATTGAGGTCTGCAGAAAGTGATTGTAGAAACATTGCAAATGGCTATGAAGTTGGAAAGGTCGGCATGAGCAACGAGTTGCTATGTCATATGCGGTCGTCCTGCAAAGCCATGAAAGGTGGCACTGTCCGCGGATCTACGATAAAGAAACTCAATCCATTTGTGGTAGACGACATCATTCGAGTAGGAGGTCGCTTACAATTATCATGCCTACCCTTTGATAGTAAACATCCAATTATATCCAATTACCTAGTAAGCACTTTGTCACCGATATGATAGTGATGCATTGCCATCTTCAGAATGCTCATGAAGGTATTATGCGTGTTCTAAATAGTCTTCATGAAGAAGAATTCTGGATTCTTAAAGGTCATTCTACAGTTAGGAGAGTATTGAGGCAATGTTACTTATGCAAGAGACTTAATACCTCAGCGTGTTCTCAGATAATGGCTCCATTACCAGAGTACTGGTTAAAGGCTCATGTACCGCCGTTCGATTCTGTTGGTGTGGACTATTTTGGACCATTTGTTACGAAGAGAGGAAGAGTTGTTGAAAAACGTTATGGTTGTCTGTTTACGTGCTCATCGATAAGAGCGGTTCATATCGAAATGGCACATACCTTAGACGCCGACTCCTTTCTGTGTGCACTGTCTGGGTTTGCTGCAAGAAGAGGATACCCGGAGAGCATATTTAGTGACAACGGTTCTAACTTCAAGAGGGCTGATGCTGGTTTGAAGCAAATTATTAGAAGTTGGGATAAGACCAAGATAGCCAATAATCTTCTACAAAAAGGATGTGAATGGCATTTCAATCCACCATCTAGAGCCAGTCATCGTGGAGGTGTATGGGAGCGCGTTATTAGATCCGTTAGAAAGATCTTAGGGACGCTACTGTTCCAGAAAGTGCTGACAGACGAAAGACTGGAAACATTCTTGGTGGAGTCTGAAGGAATTTTAAACAGTCGACCGTTGGTAAGGTTGATAGGTGACGGCGATGAATTAAGTGTACTAACTCCGAATAAATTATCGTTACTTCATAAACAATTGACGTTTGAAGGAATAGAAGCTAGTAGAACGTCATTGTATAATAAAAGATGGAAGGAAGCACACAACATTTGACTGATTTGTTCTGGCATAGATGGATCGCTACGTGAATATCTTCCGATGCTGCAAAACAAGATCTAAATGTTTGGATATAAGGCGCAGCCTACAACCTGGTGATCTCGTCCTAGTTAACAGTACTGACACACCGAGAGGTCTCTGGCCAAAGGCTATAGTTAAGTAGGTGTACTATGACCAAGATGGTCGCGTCAGGATGGTGCATTTGAAAGCTGCACAACTCAAGAAGTCGAACGAGATATAAGAAGCGTATGTTTGTTAGAAGAAGCAGACAACTTGAAGGTTCCAGATACGAGAAGTCAATGTGGTGATCGTTCTCGGGGAGTGTTAATTGCGAGAAATAGGTATATAGTTTGATAGACAGTCAATCAATATGATGTGATTATTGGTTAATTTGATGTAAACTCATACCACATGATGTGACCTTGAGTGTTCTTTGTTTACCGTCACTTTATTTGTGTGTACATGTAATTAATTAACCGTTTCATTTTTGTCCGTTCCCTCAATACTGTTCGAAACAGATAAAGTTTAAGTGAAGTCACTCTGTTTTTAACTATAGTTAAGCCGAGACTCTGTGTTCTCAGTACTTATTGGAAGGACTAAATCTGTAGGCAAATTAATCTTATAGTGCTGATTGCCACTGTGGTTGGGGTTCTCAGGATAGAGAGAGAGAGAGATAGCGGAAGACATGAAAAAATTAGCTGTCTTTGATCGTAGGTGTCTTCGTTCTATCTCCCGCCAAAAGTGGTATAATAAGGTGAGCAGTATTGAGGTTAGGCGTCGAGTGCTAGGTAAGGCGGGGAAATCAGTCGACAAGACTGTGAAATTACATCGACTTAGATGGTTAGGACATGTGTTACGTATGCCTAGTCATCGCCTTCCTCGACGGACAATGTTAGCTGATATAGGGTCAGGCTGGAAAACAGCTAGCGGCGGTCAAACGAAAACATGGCACCAGTCTATGAAATCTACAACAGTTAGTCTAAGCCACGTAGGAAGATGTAGACTTCCTGGTTGGGGTCCTCAGGACGGTAAAAACCAATGGTTGGAAACAATTGGTGACATGGCTCAAAATCGTTCTCAATGGCTGGTGCAGATGCATCCACTCCTTGTGACTTATGATTTCCAATGAAACTGTTTTGTTCTTCGTTATTACTATTCCTTTGTCTCACACCTCTGTTTACTGTCTCTAATATGCATTTCTTCTACTTTCTTCTCTTGCTTTGTGTGCTACAAGGAGGGAGTGTGGCGACTTGAACTGCCGCACATATGTGCAAAGTTCTATGTCGAAAACAGACAGACAGACAGTGTACATGTAATTAGTTAACCGTTTCATTTTTGTCCGTTCCCTCAATACTGTTCGAAAGAGATAAAGTTTAAGTCAAGTCACTCTGTTTTTAACTATAGTTAAGCCGAGACTCTGTGTTGTTGTCAGTACTGATTGGAAGGACTAAATCTGTAGGCAAAATTAATCCCTAGGGTGTTGATTGCCACTGTTGTTGGTGTCCTCAAGATTGTAATTACCAATGACAGCGGCTGGAGACATATGGTGATGCAGTTGAAAATCGTTGTCAGTGACGCAAATGCATTGACGACTCTTTGTCATTTGTCAATCATATCTAATTAGACTCTATTGTTCTTGTATATTACTATTGATTTTCCTTCACACTTGTGCTTATTATGTCTCTTTTGGTGAATATCTCTCTTTACTGTCTTCTCTTGCTTTCTGTGGTACCTAGAAGGGAGAGTGGCAACTCGAATTGCTTCACTCCTGTGCAAAGTTCTATACTGAAAGCAGTCAGTCAGTCATTGTGTCTATAATTCAACTACCTTTCAATTTTATTCATTTTTCAGACGAATTTATAGAGCTGATCTGATGTTTAGATATGAAAATCCATTGCATACACTTATTGATATTTCGACAAATCTACTTTCATCAGTTGATAAATGTAAAAAACCAACAGAATTAGTCCCTGAAATTGATCAAGTCAATTTGAACACTTTGAATGATGTAAGCCGCATTTTTGTTTGTTTCTTTTTGTCTTTCAAGTATTTCAGTTACACTGAATGTTGAATAATTAGTCTCAAAATGTGAAGGCTTACTACTACTCTTAAGCCGTGACTACCCAACTTTAATCATTGTTGTACCTGTATATTTTGCCTGATTGTTACATGTTTTTCTTGTAAAAAAAGTGGACTTTATTGGACTAGGAGCAAAGGTCGTTACAGAGTGACGAAGATGGTTGGCGATGTGATGATTACCCAAGAAGGTTTGAAAACTGAAATATTTCAATTCGTTAAATCTGAGTGGATTTATGATACTACCGGGTTTTTCGAACTGAAGTATTATTCCCCTAGGTTCCGAGTGGAACACAGAGCTTCAACAACACGTCTCCACTTTGTTTTTTATTTTCTGCTGTCCTCTTCAGTTGACCCCACGATTTCCCACAATCCCTCATCTCCTCCTCGCACGATCTCCTCCACCCACTCGTTGCTTACCTTTAGGATTCCACCTGAGTCACGGCCTGGCGCACGATGCCATTCGACGGCCTCATCAACGTATGCCCTATCCATCTCCACTTGAGCAATCGGCTCTTGCTTGGTTTGTTGCCAGGGTTTCTTGTTGCTAATTCTATCTGGTCTGCCGATTGATTTACAATATGGAGCTAGCAAGAGGGGGGGTGGAAGCTGTTGATAAAATTCTGTAACTTGTTGGAAATCCTTTTCGTGACACGCAGTGCAAGTTCCTGACCCGTATAGAATAAGTGACTGACTAACTGACTTCACATTTGTGTTGAACAGAATCCGAATCTTGTTGTTTATGCTGAATAGTGAGTGAAGAGGATTTCCAAACTGGTTTCAGGTTGATGAAGGTGTATCTTGCCTTTCTGATTCTGACTAGCTGGCTGTGACATCATCAGTTCCTGATCCCTGTGGTTGAAATCGTGCTTCCTAGATAAGTGAAGGAAGCAAGCACTTTCAAATTTCTCCCTTTGGTAGTGATTGGTGCTGGTTGTTGTATATATATATGATTATAAAACCTGGTACAATGTGCCACTAAGAAGATGCGACAGGACTTCATCTGGGGAGAAAGCAGTTATACTTAACAGCATTCATCTTATTATTGTCAGAGAGGGAAGGGAGAAGGAAATTGCAGCACGTTCGCCATTGATTACGGTTCTTAGCTAGCTATATCTAATAATGTTTCTAGTCACCGAATCGAGCTGACGCTCGGACCCCAATCAGGAAGTCGTGATGTACCAACCGATGCTAACCTACCACAAATATCCTCCATCCCACGACGCCACATCATGGGCGTTCCGCCTCTCCTCTTTTTCCATCCTTTCCCAGGGCTAGCGAGACCGATACGGAAGCCTCTGGGATGAAGCCGGTGTTTTTGCAGATGACGGCACTTAATCAGTGGTGATTTCCACTGTGTCCAAACACCCTCTGCCGGACCTCGGAATCCCCACATGGTGAGTTTGGAGAGGCCAGGTTTCACAGGCGTACAGAAAGACAGCGCGCAACATACAGATAAACGCTACAGTATTGAATTTCATATATAGTATTCATCGATAACCGTGACTGGATAACATGTATAATTTATTATCCAACTGGTGATTAATAGCCATATTGCATATTCCATTGATATATAAAGCACTTTCACTACCTATGGTAACTTTTCTAATCTTGTTCTTTTTGGTACAACTACTTATATTATATTTTATTATAGGCTTTAAAGAAGACTGTAAAGGATAATCAAGTCGCCTTCTCATTGGTTGGTCCCAATCTCGGTTCTATTGCACCGATTCAAGTATTGCTGAAGGCGTAATCATCGTCGTCACCATGTAAACAGTCTTTTTTTTCCTTTTCCACATTATATTCTCTTCTCTTTCCACTGTTTTTCTACGCGCGTGTGTGTGCACACACACACACCAACAGAGACTATCTACTGCAGAGAAGTGTAGTTAGTGTTGTTATTTTGAGACAGAAAGGGAGAGAAAGAGAGAGACAGTGTTTGTATGATTAGAGATTACTTTACTTCACCTATTCCGCTTCTTTCTTTTACTTAGTTTCATTCAATCTAGTGGTAGTATATTAAATGAAGTTTATTCACCCCACCCCCTCCTCGCCTCTAGTGGTGGTGTGGTAGCCAACAAGTTTGTGAAATGAAATGGTGTTCGTTTGTTTGCCCTTTTTCTAATGAGAAAAATTAATAAATGCTTAGGACTTTTTATGACTTTTTTTCATTTAATCTTTTGCGTTGGTTGAGTAGCCATGATTTCTCGTGTCATTCATCAGCTTGGCAGAAAACAATTCCCTAGGACTTCATACAAAGATGTATGTGTGTATGTGTGTGGTTGGTGGGAGTTTTAAACACCTCTATCAGGTGTAAATTGGTGGATGGATGACTAGCAGTGGAATCCACCAGAATGAGCACTTCGTCCTATTTGGGACTGGCTCGTCAACTGGATATACCTGCATCCCCCCCACTGGGACTCGAACCCCAGTACCTATAGTTTCAAACACCAAAGCAGGATTATATCCACTAGACCACTTGGGCCACACGAGAGCTTCAAGTTACCTAATCGGAGATCGTCGAAGCATATCTGCACAAGGAGCTGACATATCAACCTGAGGGCCGAACACTTTGCTGTTCAGTCAATCAACGGGAAAGTCCCTACTGAATTAAAAAAATAAGTGAATTTATATTAATCTAATGGGAGATATCCCATTCACATTAAAAGATTAAAGTCAGTCAGTGTGCATTATAAGATTGACCAATGTTCAGATATCGCTTTCACATTTGGCTAACCAACCACTGCTGGTCGACATCAGTACGTTCTAGCTACTCACATCAATAATTAAACTATTAGTGTACACACCAATATACAACTGATGTGAACACCAACATTGAGCTTCAATCGAATATGTATCAGTCTAAGTTGTTGTGTCACACTTCATAGGATCATATTACAAGATAACAGAACAGAAATATCAAGTATTGGTTTGTAGGGATTTGATTGATTGGTTACAGGATTTTATCATGAGCTGACATCAGTGTTAAAGAATCATTGGAAAACCAACAGGGAGTGCCGGACAGCCAGCTGTTACGTCAGCCTAGTTTGGGACTGTTCAGCAGTACGCACTTGCTGGGGTTCGAACCCAGGACCTCCTGGTTACAAGGCGAGCTAGCTCGTATACCATTAAGCCACTGGGACGCGATCCAATGGCCCATGAATTCCACCTTCTTCTAATTCATGTCTTCGGTGAGTATTTGTCCTGACACCCTACTGATCACGACTTCCCACTAGAACAGAAATTTAACGATACTAACTACAATGAGAAAAACCCACAGATATAAGAAGTAGGAACATGAATGAATGAAGGCTAGTAAAGATGTGCTCAAGACTTGTAAATAGGATAAGTGATGAGTAAATCTTCGCCGATGTTGACGATTTTCGTTTTACGAAAACAAGACATTTCAACTTTGAAATTGTAAGGTTAAATATTAAAGACTGTAACTTATTCAGGTAAAAGATGTATTATTTAACTTTGAAAAAATAGCGTATCAATTACAGACCTAGTCGTTATTGTTGTTATCTGTGCATCACTACCGATATTAACTCAGCTATCCTTAAATAGTAGTTGTGAGCAGCTCAAGACTGTAAGGCCCTAAGGGACGTGTTTAGGTGGAGCTCGATATTCGAGTGTTTTCACTTACTCTAGACCTCATCAGCTGTAGGTTAGATCAATAAGTTCAAACGAAATTATTCCTTTGTCATCGACTATCACCGTGACCAGTCAATAAAATATACAGTAGTCTTTATCTAACTTTACTTCATGAAATCAATAATTCTCAAATTGTATCTACCAATTCAACCGAGCTTGTGGGGCGAGTTATATTGGCCGTTGCTCTAGGAACTTGATTTTTCGTGCTCGAGAACATATCCCACTATGGCTTAGTAAACGTGTAGTTAAAACTATTAACAGCTCGATATTTGACCATCTGGTGCAAACCGGCCACAAAGCCAGCGTAGACGAATCCTTCTCTGTCATCTACCGGGTGCCTAATAAATTGCCAAAATCATCGAAGCACCGCATGCTCCAAACAGCAGAGGCTATTGCAATTCGCCTCAAACAACCAGCGCTCTGTGTCCAAAAGAAGCAAGTCCAGCCCCTACTACTGCCCTGGCCTTCAGTAGAAACTATAAATTCATGAATTTGTAATATTACCTTTCCTAATTCTTCTGACATTCAGTTTATTTTATGTTGATGCTGTTCAGCTGTAATTTATCAATATTATTGATTTGATGTTATTTAAGCATTAATGTCGTTCATAAGACTAATTCATTTATTCATTATAATGTATATATAATTGTAGAACCTGATGATGAATTAATCGAAAAGAGTACTCTTTGTTCCGTGTCTATTCTTTTGAAAATTCTTTAAGAATCGCTTTTCTGATATCATGCACTGTTCGTTCAGTAATGGATTCACATTCATCTGTAATCAATCAATATATCCAATTATTTTTAGGTTATTCGAAAAACCATTGGTTTTATGTGCATTCCTTATTCATTATCCTTCCCCTTATTTTCATTAAAATTCACTGCTTGTATTCTTATACGACTCTGTGATATGATTTCTCAGTAATTTGCTGACTGATCCTTCCAATGCGCATAGGATTTCATCATTGGCTGACATCACTGTTGGAGAACCATTGGAAAACCAGCAGGGAGTGCTGGACAGCTGTCTCGTCAGCCTCGTTTGGGACTCTTCATCGGTACCCACCAACGGGGTTAGAGTTCAGGACCTTCCGGTTACGAGACGGGGTCGAGCCCCAGTGGTTGCTTAATGTGACGAGTTGCAAACTAGGCTGACGAAACAGCTAGTTGTCCAGTACTCTCTGTTGATTTTCCAATGGTTCTCTAACTGATGTCAGCTCGCGATCAATTATGCAGTCAATCGAATCCTTGCAAACCAACACTGGAAAACGGAATCGTATGCAGAATGATAATTGTAAGACGAGAGTGTTTCGACTGTTCTTTTTGGAGGAGGAGTATAATACAGTAGGATTGATATTCATTTTAAGTAAAATATAACAGCAGTGTTAATTAGTAAGGTGAAAAAACACAAACGCAATTCGAAGTTGGTTTCGGATCATCCAGTTGCATGGTCTAGTGGTTAGGATTCCTGGCTTTCACCCAGGCGGCCTGGGTTCGATTCCCGGTGCGGTAGCGCTTTAGTGCGTCGGTGGCATAGCTGTTAGGACGATCGCCGACCATGCACATGGTCCGAGGTTCGATCCCCGGCCGACTCACTCCTTTACCTCGCTAAGCCAGAAATAATGCTGGTGAAGAGGAAAGGTTGAGCATGAGGCTAGCAACACCATCCTGTAAAATAAACACTGCTACAGAAACTTCAAGCCACTAGCTTGAAGCCCTATATTCCACTGGGGAACGTGAAGGAAAAAAAAGTTGCAAATTATTCAAAACACACGCGCATTGTCCCATTTACCTTAAGAAGTCAGATTGTTGAATAAATTTGTATCTTGCAATTACCTATTCTTGTATCTTTCACCACACTTTTCGTAAAACAAAAGCCAAGCCAGCATTCGGCTATTCTCTCTTCTCTGACAATTGATACAATGTGCCTTAGTGTGTGTAGGTTGGACATCCAGTCGAATGGTGGGGTAATAGCTGGGTTAACTGACAGACTACCAACCAGTGGGTTTACCCTTCCTGCGGCAGTGTCTGCTTTAACTGACCAATAGTATTATATATTCTACTATTCTCTAGTGTGATGTGAATATACTTCCCTACACATTTCAGTATGTGTTCTCAGTCATGTAGCTGGCTGAAGAAGTCAACTAGGAATTGTATAATGGTGGATTGTCGATATTCCTGCATATATAGCCGTGGATGTACCAGTTAACAGGCTTTCCTATCAAGCAATAAATTAAGGGACCATGAAAACCGTATATCCTACCGTTTTAAACAGGGGTTTTATGTGATTGTAGTAACTGTCACTTCCATAGAAAAGATATCAACAAGATAGAAGTTCTCTATTTAGCCTGTTGTTAAAACTATTTACATATATCGAGTTGATTATGTCGGGTTTCGAGCTGATGGATGACAGTGAACGAACTGGCAATAAGCCACTGGCTGCTCCTTCTGCTTATCGATACTAAGGAGGTACAAACATTTGTTTTATGTGATTGTAAATCTTTCCAATCTGATTGGGTGGTAAGCTGGTAAACGATGAACTCTTGTTATAATATTGGGAGTATAAAGTGGATGAGGAAATATACAACCCTGTAATACGTGCGTCGGTGGCATAGCGGTTAAGACGCTAGCTGACCATGCACATGGTCCGAGGTTCGATCCCCGGCCGACCCACTCCTTTACCTCGCTAAGCCAGAAATAATGCTGGTGAAGAGGAAAGGTTGGGCATATGAGGCTAGCAACCCCATCCTGTAAAATAAACACTGCTACAGAAACTTCAAGCCACTAGCTTGAAGCTCTATGTTTCACGGGGGAACGTGAAGGAAAAAAAAGTACGCCAGCAGCTGCCTTCGCTCAATACTCAAGATCAAATGGCCATCAAGGAAAAATCAGCAACAGAGATCTCTGGGAGTTAACCAACCAGGAACCAATTGTGCAACAAAAATACAGGAAGAAATGGAGGTGGATTGGAGACCATACTCAGAGAAAACAAACCATCAAGTCAGTGACATCACACGACAGGCCATCGCTCGAGTGGAACCCGAATGGGAAACGGCGAGTTGGTCGTCATTGCCAGGGTGACATGGAGGAGGTCGTGTGAGGACGAGATGAAAGTATGTGGGCAGACGTGGAGGCAGGTGAGAACGTTGGCAGAAAACCGAACGCAATGGAGACGTGCGACTGAAGCCCTATGTTCATCTAGGAACCAAAGGAAGCAAATAATAATAATAGTACGTCTTAACTCTTGGTCAATGTTCGCACACAGCTTTTTTGTGAATCATCGGATGGATTATTGCTGTTATGGTGTGTGTGTGTTTTGACTTCCTGTATGTGGATTGATATTGATTTAGGAAATAATTGTGACAAACAGTTAGAACGATCATGTTTGCCTATGTGTAGCTTGTTAAAAACCGAATACACTAGCATCACATGATTTAGCATAAACATTAGTAAAAGAAACAATGATGAACTTTGTCTTATAATAAAGGTACGATCGATATTTACTA